TCAATTGTTCACTGGTCCTAATTATTATCAATTATTCCACTGATTAATGTTATCAATTATTCACTGATCCTAATTACTATCAATTATTCACTGATCCTAATTATTATCAATTATTCACTGATCCTAATTAACTATCAATTATTCACTGATCTAATATTATCAATAAAATTATCAATTATTCACTGATCCATTATTCACTGATCTAATTATCATCAATTATTCACTGATCCTGAATTATTATAAATTATTTCACTGATCCTGATTTATCATCAATTATTCACTGATCCTGATTATTTAAAATTATTCACTGATCTAATTATCTCAATTATTCACTGATCCTAATTATTATCAATTATTCACTGATCCTAATTATTATCAATTATTCACTGATCCTAATTATATTATCAATTATTCACTGATCCTAATTATTCACTATCATTATTATTATCACTGATTCTAATTATTATCAATTATTCACTGATCCTAATTATTATCAATTATTCACAGATCCTAATTATTATCAATTATTCACTGATCCTAATTACTATCAATTATTCACTGATCCTTAATTTATTATTTATTCAATGTATTCACTGATCCTCTTGATTCATTATCAATTAATATTTCAATTATTCACTGGACTGATCCTAATTATCATAAATTATTCACTGATCCTAATCATTAATTATTCACTGGATCTTAATTATTATCGGTTATTCATGCCTAATTATTCAATCCTAATATCAATTATTCACTGATCCTAATTATTATCAATTATTCACTGATCCTTATTATTATCATTGCCTTCAATAGCATATTTCGTTCTTGACAAGTATATTTCTTCATAACAGGTATATTTCCATTATTATCGCAAACATAATTCTCATTTTTAAAATTTCAATCAAGACATTTATTAATGTCATGTTTCAGCCTTTCCGCTCTTAATCGATCTGAGGAAGAGAGATAACTGAAGTCCATTATTATCGTAAACCTCATTCTCATTCTTTTATATTTTCCAATCAAGACTTTTATCATTTTTATTATTCAGTGTTTCCGTTCTTAATCGATGTTTTCACCCTATTTCTCCTCTTCCTCCCTTTCTTAATCGATGTTTTCATTTTCTTCCTCCCTTTCTTAATCGATGTTTTACCCAATTTCTCCTCTTCCTCCTTTCTTAATCTTCACCCAATTCTCCTCTTCCTCCTTTTTAATCGATGTTTTCAACCCATTTCTCCTCTTCCTCCTTTCTTAATCGATGTTTTCACCCTATTTTCCTCTTCCTCCTTTCTTTCGATGTTTTCACCCTATTTTCCTCTTCTCCCTTTCTTAAATCGATGTTTCACCCTATTTCTCCTCTTCCTCCCTTCTTATTTCTATTTTCGATGTTTTCACCCTATTTCTCCTCTTCCTCCCTTTCTTAATCGATGTTTTCACCCAATTTCTCCTCTTCCTCCCTTTCTTAATCGATGTTTTCACCCCAATTTTCCTCTTCCTCCCTTCTTAATCGATGTTTTCACCCAATTTCTCTCCTCTTCTCCTTTCTTAATCGATGTTTTCACCCAATTTTTCCCTTCCTCCTTTTTAATCGATGTTTTCAACCAATTTCCTCCTCTTCCCTCCCTTTCTTAATCGATGTTTTCACCCATTTCTCCTCTTCCTCCTTTCCTAATCGAGTTTTCACCCTATTTCCTCTTCTCCTTTCTTATCGATGTTTTTTCACCTATTTCTCCTCTTCTTTTTCTTTTATTTCTCCTCTCTCCCTTCTCAGTCGATGTTTCACCAATTTTTCCTCTTCCTCCCTTTCTTAATCGATGTTTTCACCCAATTTTCCTCTCTCCTTTCTTAATCGATTTTTCACCCACTTTCTTAATCGATTTTTCACCCTATTTCTCCTCTTCCTCCCTTTCTTATCGATGTTTTCACCCTAATTTCTCCTCTTCCTCCCTTTCTTAATCGATGTTTTCACCCAATTTCTCCTCTTCCTCCCTTTCTAATCGATGTTTTCACACCTTCTCTCTTCCTCCCTTTCTAATCGATGTTTTCACCCAATTTTCCTCTTCCTCCCTTTCTAATCGATGTTTTCAACCCTATTTCTCCTCTTCCTCCCTTTCTTAATCGATGTTTTCACCCTATTTCTCCTCTTCCTCTTTCTTATTTCTTCCCCTTTCTTTCATCGATGTTTTCACCCTATTTTCTCTCTTTCCTCCCTTTCTAATCGATGTTTTCACCCAATTCTCCTCTTCCTCCCTTTCTTAAATCGATGTTTTCCACCCAATTTCTCCTCTTCCTCCCTTTCTTAATCGATGTTTCACCCAATTTCTCCTCTTCCTCCCTTTCTCTCGATGTTTTCACCCAATTTCTCCTCTTCCTCCTTTCTTAATCGATTGTTTTCACCAATCTTCCTCTCCCTCCCTTTCTTATCGATGTTTTCACCCTATTTCCCTCTTCTCCCTTTCTTAATCGATGTTTTCAACCCTATTTTCCTCTTCCTCCTTTCTTATTTCTCCTCTTCCCCTTTCTCAGTCGATGTTTTCACCCAATTTCTCCTCTTCCTCCCTTTCTTAATCGATGTTTTCACCCAATTTTCCCTCTTCCTCCCTTTCTTAATCGATGTTTTCACCCAATTTCTCCTCTTCCTCCCTTTCTTAATCGATGTTTTCACCCTATTTCTCCTCTTCCTCCCTTTCTTAATCGATGTTTTCACCCAATTTCTCCTCTTCCTCCCTTTTATCGATGTTTTCAACCCAATTTCTCCTCTTCCTCCCTTTCTTAATCGATGTTTCACCCAATTTCTCCTCTTCCTCCCTTTCTTAATCGATGTTTCACCCAATTTCTCCTCTTCCTCCCTTCTCAGTCGATGTTTTCACCCAATTTCTCCTCTTCCTCCTTTCTTAATCGATGTTTTCCCAATTTCTCTCTTTCCTCCCTTTCTTAATCGATGTTTTCAATTTCTCCTCTTCCTCCCTTTCTTAATCGATGTTTTCACCCTATTTCTCCTCTTCTTCCCTTTCTTAATCGATGTTTTCACCCTATTTCTCCCCTTCCTCCCTTTCTTATTTCTCCTCTTTCCTCCCTTTCTTAATCGATGTTTTCACCAATTTCTCCTCTTCTCCCTTTCTTAATCGATGTTTTCACCCAATTTTCTCTCTTCTCCTTTCTTAATCGATGTTTTCACCCAATTTCTCCTCTTCCTCCCTTTCTTAATCGATGTTTTCACCCAAATTCTCCTCTTCCTCTCCTTTCTCAGTCGATGTTTTTCATCCCAATTTCTCCTCTTCCTCCCTTTCTTAATCGATGTTTTTCACCCAATTTCTCCTTTCCTCCTTTCTTAATCGATGTTTTCACCCAATTTCTCCTCTTCCTCCCCTTTCTTAATCGATGTTTTCACCCAATTCTCCTCTTCCTCCCTTTCCGGTTTTCACCCAATTTCTCCTCTCCTCCCTTTCTTAATCGATGTTTTCACCCAATTTCTCCTCTTCCTCCCTTTCTTAATCGATGTTTTCACCCAATTTCTCCTCTTCCTCCCTTTCTTAATCGATGTTTTCCCCAATTTCTCCTCTTCCTCCCTTTCTTAATCGATGTTTTCACCCAATTTCTCCTCTTCCTCCCTTTCTTAATCGATGTTTTCACCCAATTTCTCCTCTTCCTCCCTTTCTTAATCGATGTTTTCACCCAATTTTCTCCTCTTCCTCCCTTTCTTAATCGATGTTTTTCACCCTATTTCTCCTCTTCCTCCCTTTTCTTAATCGATGTTTTCAATCGATGTTTTCACCCAATTTCTCCTCTTCCTCCCTTTCTTAATCGAATGTTTTCACCCTATTTCACCCCTTCCTCCCTCAGCTCGTCCTCCTTTTCTTAATCGATGTTTTCACCCTATTTCTCCTCTTCCTCCCTTTCTCAATCGATGTTTTCACCCTATTTCTCCCCTTCCTCCCTCAGCTCGTCCTCCTTTTCTTAATCGATGTTTTCACCCTATTTCTCCTCATTATCATCGCAAACATAATTCTCATTTTTAAAATTTCAATCAAAACATTTATTAATGTCATGTTTCAGCCTTTCCGCTCTTAATCGATCTGAGGAAGAGAGATAACTGAAGTCCATTATTATCGTAAACCTCATTCTCATTCTTTTATATTTTTCCAATCAAGACTTTTATCATTTTTATTATTCAGTGTTTCCGTTTTAATCGATGTTTTCACCCAATTTCTCCTCTTCCTCCCTTTCTTAATCGATGTTTTTCACCCAATTTCTCCTCTTCCTCCTTTCTTAATCGATGTTTTCACCCTATTTCACCCCTTCCTCCCTCAGCTCGTCCTCCTTTTCTTAATCGATGTTTTCACCCTATTTCTCCTCATTATCATCGCAAACATAATTCTCATTTTTAAAATTTCAATCAAGACATTTATTAATGTCATGTTTCAGCCTTTCCGCTCTTAATCGATCTGAGGAAGAGAGATAACTGAAGTCCATTATTATCGTAAACCTCATTCTCATTCTTTTATATTTTCCAATCAAGACTTTTATCATTTTTATTATTCAGTGTTTCCGTTTTTAATCGATGTTTTCACCCAATTTCTCCTCTTCCTCCCTTTCTTAATCGATGTTTTCACCCATTTCTCCTCTTCCTCCCTTTCTTAATCGATGTTTTCACCTATAATCTGTTTTCACCCTATTTCTCCTCTTCCTTTCTCAATCGATGTTTTCACCCTATTTCTCCTCTTCCTCCCTTTCTCAATCGATGTTTTCACCCTATTTCTCCTCTTCCTCCCTTTCTCAATCGATGTTTTCACCCTATTTCCTCTTCCTCCCCTTTCTTCACCCTATTCTCCTCTTCCTCCCTTTCTTAATCGATGTTTTCACCCTATTTCTCCTCTTCCTCCCTTTCTTAATCGATGTTTTCACCCTATTTCTCCTCTTCCTCCCTTTCTCAATCGATGTTTTCACCCTATTTCTCCCCTTCCTCCCTCAGCTCGTCCTCCTTTTCTTAATCGATGTTTTCACCCTATTTCTCCTCTTCCTCCCTTTCTTAATCGACGTTTTCACCCTATTTCTCCCCTTCCTCCCTTTCTTATTTCTCCTCTTCCTCCCTTTCATAATCGATCTTTTTTTCACCCTATTTCTCCCCTTCCTCCTTCAGTTCATCCTCCTTTCGTTTTCACCTTATTTCCCCTTCCTCCCTTTCTTATTTCTCCTCTTCCTCCCTTTCATAATCGATCTTTTTTTCACCCTATTTCTCCCCTTCCTCCTTCAGTTCATCCTCCTGGTGGGACTCGACCGGACGGAGGACGAGGTAGGCTGCGGAGTCGTCGCCGGGTTCCTCCACTACTTCCTCCTCGCTACCTTCTGCTGGATGGGGGTTGAGGGTGTCAACGTCTATTTCCTTGTCGTGAAGGTGAGCCTGGGGACAGAAGAGGGAGGGAGGGAGGGAGGGGGGACGGAGGGAGGGAGAGGAGAGAGATAGAGAGAGAGAAGAAGAGAGAGAGAGAGAGGAGAGAGAGAGAGAGAGAAAACGGGAAGTTGGACAAAATAAGATGGGGGTCGAGGGTGAGAGAGAGAGAGAGAGAGAGAGAAGAAAAGAGAGAGAGAGAGAGAGAGAGAGAGAGAGAGAGAGAGAGAGAAGAGAGAGAGAGAGAGAGAGAGAGAGAGAGAGAGAGAGAGAGAGAGAGAGAAGAAGAGAGAGAGAGAGAAAAAAAAAACGAGAAGCTGGACAAAATAAGATGGGGGTCGAAGGTGTCAACGTCTACTTCCTTGTCGTGAAGGTGAGCCTGGGGACAGAAGAGAGGGAGGAGGGAGGAGGGAGGGAGGGAGGGAGGGAGGGAGGGAGGGAGGGAGGGAGGGAGGGAACGAAGGAGGGAGGGAGGAGAGAGAGAGAAAAAAAAAAAAACGGGCAGCTGGACAAAATAAGATGGGTCGAGGGTGTCAACGTCTATTTCCTTGTCGTGAAGGTGAGCCTGGGGACAGAAAAGAGAGGGAGGGAGGGGGAGGGAGGGAGGGAGGGAGGAGGGGGGAGAGAGAGAGAGAGAAGAAAGATAGAGAGAGAAAGAGAAAAAAAAACGGGAAGCTTGACAAAATAAGATGGGGTCGAGGGTGTCAACGTCTATTTCCTTGTCGTGAAGGTGAGCCTGGGGGACAGAAGAGAGAGAGAAGAGAGGGAGGGAGGGAGGGAGGGAGAGAGGGAGAGAGAGAGAGAGAGAGAGAAGAAGCAAGAAAGAGAGAGAGAGAGAGAGAGAGAGAGAGAGAGAGAGAGAGAGAGAGAGAGAGAGAGAGAGAGAGAGAGAGAGAGAGAGAGAGAGAGAGAGAGAGAAGAGTCTGCATACGCTCATTGATTAGATTGTATGATATACCACAAGTTAAGTCTAAGGCGGATATAAATCCTGTCGCATATTTCCCTCTATCTCCCTCTGTCCCCTTTTTCTTCCTCTCTTTATCCGTCCTTTCTCTCTCTCTTTTTCCGCCCTCTCTCTCCCTCTTTCTCTCTTCCTCCCTCCTCTCTCTTTTTATTCCTCCTCCCCCTCTCTCTCTACCTCCTTCCCTCTCCTCCTCTCTCTCTCTCTCACTCACTCATCACTCACTCACTCACTCACTCACTCACTCACTCACTCTCTCTCTCTCTCTCTCTCCTTCCCCTCCTCTCTCTCTCTCTTTCCCTCTCCCGTACGTTTTTCATCCTCCGCTGTTCTTTCAATCAACACTTTCTTCTCCCAGGTGTTCCTCACTGCGCGCTCTCCCCTGCGTTACTACACCGTGGTCGGCTACACAGCCCCGGCCCTTGTGGTTGCTATTTCTGCGGCCGTGGATTCGGGAGGTTACGGGACAGAGGACTAGTAAGTGGGGCAACCGCATATGCTTTGCTTATTTTTGTCTTTTTGTCTCTCTCTTTCTCTCTCTGGTTCTCTTTAGCTCCCTCTTTCTCTTTCTTTTTAGCTTTCTCTCTCTCTTTCTTTCTCTCTCTGGTCCTGTTTACCTCCCCCCCCTCTCTCTCTCTCTCTCTCTCTCTCTCTCTCTCTCCCTCTCCCTCTCTCCCACTCTCTTTCTCTCTCTCTCTCTCTCTCTCTCTCTCTCTCTCTCTCTTTTCTCTATCTCTTTCTTTCTCTCTCTCTCTCTCTCTCTCTGTTCTTATTCTTATTCTGATCATCGTCTTCACCATCGTTATCATTATCATTATTTTCTAGATTATAATTACTATCATGATTACCATCATCTTTATCATTAACATCATCAGTATCCTTATTATTACAATAATTATTATTCCTCTTCTTATAACTACTACCAAGTTCAGTTCTATTAATTTCCATCCTAATCATCACTATCTATTATCAATTATCCTCATTATTCCATATTTCTCTCCCAATGATGCAATTCCGTGTTTACCATTACAGCTGTTGGCTTTCCACTGAGAGCGGCCTCATATGGGCATTCACGGGACCAGCGCTTGTTATACTCCTGGTTAGTGCAAAAGGCATTTAATACAGTATATTGCGTTCTTATTACTTCCGCCAAGGTTGGTTAGTTAGTTTGTTTGTTCGTTTGTTCGTTATGAACGTTATGAACAGATTTTTTTTTTTTTTTTTTTTTTTTTTTTTTTTTTTTTTTTTTTTTTTACAGAGGTGTGTCTCAGCCTAACGGATTACCACCATTAAATTTCGGTGGTGATACGGATTTAGGATTTTTGTTAATCGTTGTATCAGTTATCTCTACTTCCTTGGCCATAAGAGTAATAATCATGTACTTAATATTAATCTACTTATTAATGTAATTAATAATAATCTACTTCCTTGACAATAAGAGTAACAATCATCATTATCCTTGCCTTTATTACCTCCGCCAAGGATGGATATGTTTACGGATATTTGAGAAAAAGGTGATTTTTAACGTAATTTTTCGGGTGAATATTCTTTATGGCATGACTGACTCTATAGCCTTGACGGTAGATTGTGCCTCTAGTTTCTATATAGATCTATTTGTCCATATTTATAGCTCACTATATACAAAATACTGGAATTAATTTGCTTAGCTATGCGATTTTTTTTTCTCTCTTTAGTGAACAATGTCATATTATCTAATATTACTTTTGGTATTATTAATATTATTTGCTTTGCTATTTCCAGTATTATTCATGATAATAGAAATGGTGTTATTTTTTCGTTGGTGGAGGTATTGTTATTATTATTATCGTCATTAATATTATTATTGTTATTGCAATAATTATTAATATCGTTATTATTGTTATTATTAGCATTATAATTATCATTGTTAGTATAATCTTTATCGTTATCTTTTTTATCATGATTGTTGTTATCATTGTTATTATTATTTTAACTATTATCATTGTTGTTATTATCATTATTATTATTATTGTTATTATCATTGTTATCATCATTGTTATCCTTATTTCCATAATCATTATCATTATTTCTATATTTGTTCTTATGATAATAATAATGATAATGATAATAACAATGAAATTAATAATAATAATGATGATGATGATGATGATGATGATAATAATAGTAATGATAATAAGAAAAATAATGACGATGATAACCATTATTATAATCATCAATCTTGTTATCATTATCATCGTTTGTATTATCATAATCATTTTTATTATTATGATCATGGTTATCATTATCATTTTTTATCGTTATTATTATTATTATTGTTATTATTATTATTATTATTAACATTATTATTATTATCATTATTATTATTACTCTTGCCATGATTACTATTATCATTATTGTTGCTGTTGTCATTATCATCATCATCATAATCATCTTCATTATTATCATTATTGTTGTTATTATTGACCATAATTATATTATTATCATCATTATTAAGATTTCTATCAATATTGTTATCATTATCACTGTTATTATTGTCACCATTGTTATCATTATTATCATTATCGTTATTATTGGTATCATTATCATTATTAAAATGAAAATAGTGATAACAATAATCATTATAATTATCATTTTACTATTATTTTCATTATAGTTATTGTTATCTTAATTATTGTTCCAATCGTTATTATCATTATTATTATCATTTTCATTAATATGATTTTTTCATGTCTGATGTCACTGTCATTTTGAATACGACTGTTATTATGATTAAGTTTATCATTATCATTACTACTACTACTACAATCACTTCCACCATAATATTTATTTATTATTACTATTATTATCATTACTATCATTATCATTACTATTATTATATTATCATTATTGATATTATTATTATTATTATTAAAATAAAAAGGGGATGTAATTTCTTAGAGTGTCGGCTTTAAAGTTGAATAATACTCTTTTGTACCTATATATATATATATATATATATATATATATATATATATATATATATATATATATATATTATATATATATATATATATATATATATATATAATCTCAATCAATAAAGCAACTTATACATATTGCATGCAAAGTAGTGTTAATCTGAATATTCTTCAATGGGTCCGTGATTCTAGAAGGGTTACGTACCGCTGCACCAGAGGGCACACCTAATAAAATCTACGGACCTTACCCGCCACATTTACCTAAGTCGACCAGCACAACCGTACATAAGAACAGCCACCACAGGCATAGTTACCTCAGTCTACCAATCCCATACCCACACATACGTACATAAAAAACAACCACTACAGGCTTAGTTAGCTCAGTCTACCAACCCCATACCCACACATACGTACATAAAAACAGCCACCACAGGCATAGTTACCCAAGTCTACGATCTCCATACCCGCACATACGTACATAAGAACAGCCACCACAGGCATAGTTACCTCACTCTACCAACCCCACCACAGGCATAGTTACCCAAGTCTACGAACCCCATACCCGCTCATACATACATAAAAACAACTGCCACAACTACCACAGGCAACCGCAATGACCCTTCCTCCATCGCCTCCTTCCCCCGCAGGTGAACTTCGTCATGTTCGGCTTCGGAGTGCGCGCCTACCTCACCATGAACACCGCCGGCCACAGAGGAGGAGGCGGGGGCGGCGGCAGGGGCGGGAAGGCCGAGGGCACGAGCAAGGGCGAGTCCCGACGCCTTCTGAGGGGCTCGGTCATCCTGTCGTCCGTGCTGGGTCTGACCTGGATTCTGGGCTACTTCATGATGTTCGGAGGTCAGGCGGGGGGCTGGGGGGGGGGGGGGACGGGAGAGGGGGATGATGACATAACCTGTATGCATGTACGAGTGTAATGATTTTGTGAGACGTGTGATGGTATGTAGTATAAATAGATATATAAATGGGTATATAGAGAAATAAACAGATCTTAAAGTATATACACACAGTCACACACATATATGAATATGTATATACATGCATAAATATCATATACATATATATATAATATATATATATATATATATATATATATATATATATATACATATTTACACATATATACGCATGTTTTCAGGCTCGGCGGCGTACGCGATGGCCGTGCTGTTCACGGTGGTGAACTCGCTCCAGGGCGCCATCCTGTTCGTGGTGATGGTCCTGATGAACCCAGCGGCGCGGACGCAGCTCAAGGTCATCCTCTGCTGCGGCCGGGAGGAGGTGAGTCAGTCGAGTCAGCTGTGAGTGAGCGCTGGAATGCCGACGTCAGAATGCGGGGGTCAAAGTCGGGGCGGGGAGGACCTGACAACGCTTCCGTACCCCCCCCCCCCTCCCCTACGCGCAGGTCCCTCACGTCCAATGGGATAAGGAATCAGCTTGGACTTCGATTCTTCTTCTCAACCTTCTCCCATTTCTTTATAGGGTCGCCGTTATGGATGCCTATTACGGCTCATTCCGTATGGGTTTTGGCTCGGGTTTTAACAGTCGAATGCCCTTCCTGACACCAACCCTCTCTATTCATCCGGGCTTGGGACCGACATCCAAAAAAGCTGGCTAGCCCCCCCCCACAAACACACATGCAACGAGATAGGAAGGCTAGCATCTGTGCCTTTATATATATATATATTATATATATATATATATATATATTATATATATATATATATATATATATATAATATATATATGTATGTATGTATATAGATAGATAGATAGATAGATATAGATATAGATATACATAATCGTATAAGACAGTTTCATTATTAACAATAAAGATGCTAGCCTTCCTATCTCGTTGCATGTGTGTATTTAAACCACATAACCTCTGGACCGACGCTAAAATTCTCCCGTTTTTAGCATTAACTTAATACTGAACCGCCATAGAGCTGAACACTTGGTTTATGTTTTTTGACTGGACTTTCTATTGCATATTTGGAGCATTATGCAAATGGAGCGGCTGCTGACAAAGGTTTAAGAATCCTTGTCATGAAATGTACCTTTATACGTGGATATATGATTTTTTTTTCTTTCTTTTCTTTTTTTTATTTATTTCCAGTATTCCTTAACATTCTCATAATCACATCCTCACGACAATCTCCATCCGAAATCGAGGTCTTTGATAAAAGTCGAGAGATGAGATATATTACATTTATTTATTTATTTATCATTTATCAAATCTAATTAAATTAAAAAATCAAAAAAAATAGATATTTATCAAAGACCTCTACACTGACCCGAAATCTAGGTCTACTATCAAGGTCGAGAAACACTTTACGACCTTTATCAAAGACCTAGACTCGAACCCAATATCGAGGTCCAGAGACATTTTAAGACTTTTATCAAAGACCTCAAAACTGACCCGAAATCGAGGGCTTTTATTGAGGTCGAGAATCACTCTACGATCTTAATCAAAGAACTTAAAACTGACCCGAAATCTAGGTCGTTTATTAAGGTCGAGAATCACTCTACGATCTTTATCAAAGACCTCAAAACTGACCGAAATTGAGGTCTTTTTATTAAGGTCGAGAATCACTCTACGACCTTTATCAAAGACCTCAAAACTGCCTCGAAATCCCCCCCCCCACCCTCCACCCCCCAACCCCACCCCATAAACCACCCAACACGAAGCGTACACCCACTCCCTCACTCCCCTGATCCCTCACTTTTTCCCCTTCTCTCCTCTGCAGAAAATATCCAACATCCCGAGCTCCTTCACGAGGTCCAGCCGCGTCGACCCTTCCACAAGCTTCCAGAAGGAGCTGGAGAACGCCCCGCCAAGCATCCCGCGCCCGGTCCTCATCAACCCGAGGGGCTCCGGGGAACTCGACATGTGGGTGGCCCAGGAGCTGCAGGACCGACCTACGAGAAGGCGCTAGGTAATTGGAGAGAGAGAGAGAGAGATAGATAGATAGAGAGAGAGTGAGAGAGAGAGAGAGGGGGGGGATGAGAGAGGGAGATAAATAGAGAGAGAGAGAGAGAGAGAGAGAGAGAGAGAGAGAGAGAGAGAGAGAGAGAGAGAGAGAGAGAGGAGAGAGAGAGAGAGAGAGAGAGAGAGGGGAGAGAGAGAGAGGGGGGGAGAAGAAGAGAGAGAGAGAGAGAGAGAAGAGAGAATGAGAGAGAGAGA